TATATGTCAAGCCAAGAGCTTTAAGGACTGCATCTTAGACTCAATTCACGAATATCCTTTTTTAAATCATAGATATCTTAGAGATGTAGTTACTTCTAGAATTAAACTTGTCAGCAAGCTAAATAATAACCATCGGTTTCAACAATGGATTCCAACCAGCTTAAAAGTTAAAGTGCCATGGTTAAAATTAAAAAAAAAAAAATGTTCAATGATGTAGTCTAAAAAATGATGTATCAATCCTTAAATGAGGGCCTCGTATGGAGGCCCAAGACAGGGAGCTAACCGAGACAATCTGAGACGTTTTCTGGGAAAGAGGGAGGGGGTGGAGTAGGCGTCCCCACAGATTTAATGTCAATTCCACCCATATTTATTAAACACACATTATGGGAAGGAGGACGAGAGCGGAGCAAGGCTCCAAACTTACACCTGAAAGTTGGGATCTGGCAATATAGTGGTTGTATGCTGAAAGATCACTCCTGACAGTGCCCAGAGTCCAAGGAATACACGCACACATCGGGGGCGAGGGGCAACTTTCCGTCCGCACCTCTCTGAGCTGGGACGTGTACACACACACATACACGCACACTTACACTCTCTGCAGTCTCTCTGCAGGCTGGCACCGCCCGCGTCACCCCGTTCTACTCCCACAGCACCTCCCCCAAGTTCTCAGTGTCCCCTTCTTTCGGCCGCTGCGCTCACTCCGCATCTCGAAGTCAAACACCCAGCCCTCACCTCCGGCACAGAGTGCTCGGGACCCAGGAAGACGGCGCCTCGTCAGGTCGGGAAAGTAATGCGCCTGCGCGAAGGCTCTGACGTCTGCGCTCCCAATAATGTTCGGCCTTCTCACAGACTCCATTCCCCAGAAGTCTCAGCGGTCGGCGCGCTCCAATATGGCGTATGAAATTCTGCGCACGCGCACGCTTCTGGGAAAGGAGCTGACGGCTCTAAAGCGAGTCCGTCACAGCTTTCCAGTTGCTGTAGCCGGCTGAGGGAACGTTGGTGGATGTATGGGAGACTTACCGGACCCTGGAAGTACTGTCTACGTGTGATGTCACGTCCCTCCAGTCCTCCGATGGAAGGGCCGTCCGAAGGAAATGTGTCTGATCTTTGGGGCCGGTCCCTACCCTTGGTTTTCACCGCCCGAAAGACCGAGAACGACGAGTCTCCTGGCGCTTTGAAGAGGCTTTTTTTCTGCTTCAGCTTGTCCACTTTCAGGGATTTGGTTCTGAAATTTGGGCCGGAGAAACGCAGAATTCGGTTCTAGGACGAGGCTGGGCCTGAGGCAGGGTATGTGTACATTTTTGCGCCGGAAGAGGAAAGCCCAGGATACACATCTGTTTAACTGGGCAGCCGGCAGATTACCGACAGTTTGAGCGCACACCAGTCCGCCTGCCTTGGTATTGCGGGAAGGGCCCCCCCTAGTTGGAGACGTCGTAGGAATTCTCATCCTTGGCTGCATGTCGGAATCACCTGAAAAGCTTTGGACACATTGATACGTGGGGTCCACTCTGAAGAGAGTTACAGAGATCTTCAGGTGATTCTAATGTGCTGCTAGAGCTAAGAACCACTGAGCTAGAGCTTCAGAGAAGACTGGAGATTACAAGAATATGATAAAATAGACTTCAGGAACAAGTCTACACTTCCACTCAAAAAACCTATAATGCCTACCATAGGCAAGGCATTGTTACAGATATAAATAAGACACAGTTATTGCCCCAAACGAACCATGGTCCAAAGGAAAAACCAGAATGTAAAAGTATGTTCTATACGTCACGTCCGAGACACAAGGGGCGTACAACCGGGAAGCAGTTAACTATGGCTGAGAAAGTTAGAAAAGGCCTATGACAGTTACAGTCCTATAAGTGATCCACTTGAAAAAGAATACTTACTTTATTAAGAAGAAAGAAGGGCCGCCCGGGTGGCTCAGTTGGTTAAGATTCGGACTCTTGATTTGGGCTCAGGTCATGATCTCAGAGTTCTGAGATCGAACCCCAAGTTGGACTCCATGCTCAGGGTGGACTCTGCCTGGGATTCTCTCTCCCTCTGCCGCCCCCAAATAAATAAATAAAATCTTAAAAAACAACAACAACAAAGTGCAATCTATGCAGAGAGAAGAGCACCCGCAAAGATACAGACTAGGGGATAAAAGTGTGAAAAATTAGTAGCAAAATGAATGGTCAGGGGGTATTTAGGGGCTGACAACCATAATTTGGGGCCAGATTGGGGATGGTTTTTACTGCAGTAAGGGTTTGGACCTTCCAGGATTAGGACTTGATTGAAGTCATATTTTTCTTGCTGTTCCCTCTTGTGTGGTGATGTTTTTAATTTATTTAGCCTTATACTGAGAGTGGAAATTGCGTATGATCAGAAGCTGGGTGGTGGGGTGGGAGAGAAATATTCAGGCACAATTTCACACTATACCTGAAAAACACTGCTGCTTTTAATACCCAGGTCTGATTCCAGATTGGAATGGCTTTCTACTTCTCTGTTTTTGTTTTTGGAATACCTTCTTTCAAAATGGCCACCATTGGGGCATCTTTAGTCCACCCTCAATGACTGCATATTCCTGAGCCCTAATTGTGAACAGGTTTCTGTTTTTACCATGGGGCTCCCAACCCAGGAAAGTTGGAGGTTGTGTGATGATGGATGCCTGAACACACAGGGAACCTGTAGAAAACAATCTGTGCTTCAGTTCTGCCTTACAAAAGCACCTTCACATTTTTGTTTTTTAGAATTAGTTTAAAATAGGGTAAGCCATCTCCCTCAGGCTAATTTGACTTTGAGATGCTCTTGCTACCTACTCTTCCTCTGGGTAAACTATAGTTTATCAGTATTGTTCCTAAAATCTGTTTCTCGTTTTTTTCTCTCCATCTTCCATGGTAGTAGAATTTTAGCCAGGCCCATGTTTAAAGAGTACATTTCTCTGCAGCTAGATGTGGTCAAGTGTTCTGGTAAATAGGATGTAAATGGATGTGCTGTATAGCTCCTCGGGACAATCTTCCTTACAGGACAGCCAGAGTCAAGAGTACAAAGGAATGAACTATTGATCCCCATGACAATACAGATGGATCTCAAGGGCTTTATGCCTTTTATCACTCAAGGGAGTGATAAAAGCCACTCTCAAAAGGTTACATACTGTATAATCCTGTATATGACATTCCAGAAAAGGCTAAACTATAGGGATGGATCAGTGGTCACACTAGGTTGGAATGGGAGAAATGTGAGAAATGTTTGACTACAAAGGAGCAGCAAAAGGGAATGTTGGGGTCATGCACAAACTTACCAGGTTGCTGGGGACCAGAGCTACCCTAACAGTAATTGACATCAAGTAGCACACGAGAGCACTCTGGAAGAGGGGACATCCTTGTTAAGCTATTGATTAACTCTCTTGGGTAACAAATGTGCATTGTGACATAGGCCTCTGGATCACACTCTGTCCTGAATTTAAGAGGACCTAAATTTCAGACACTGTAGCAGGCCAATGCCAAAAGACACATCAGGGACAGATGGCACCCCTCAAGATAATCTGAGCAGTTCCATTTCTATCTAGTTGTGCTAAGTCACCAATGAGATGACATTTTTTTTCTCATTTGTCCATCCCTTCACCTTCTTGGTTCCAGAGCACAGAAGGGAAGAGAAACTCCTGGGCCAGCCATGGTTCCCTGGCAGCACCTCCGTCCCACCTACTAGCCCCCTCCCCAGCCCCAGAGGAAGAGGGCTTGCTTGTTGGGCACTTGCTCTGCCATCCTGGCCATGTGTGCCACCATGAGTGCTGGCAGAAAGTGACACAGATTGAAAAAGCAAGAGGGGAGGGGCGTCTGGGTGGCTCAGTCGTTTAAGCGTCTGCCTTCGGCTCAGGTCATGACCCCGGGGTCCTGGGATCAAGCCCCACTTCCGGCTCCTGCTCGGCGGGAAGCCTGCTTCTCCCTCTCCCACTCCCCCTGCTTGTGTTCCCTCTCTCGCTGTGTCTCTGTCAAATAAATAAAAAATCTTAAAAAAAACAAAAAAACAAGAGGGGAAAATGGTGTTTTTTGCCCTGACTCAATGGGTTGTCCCTGAATCCCTAGATAGGGTCTATAAACCATTCTCAGTCCTCCCCTCTCTGGCTGAGGACTGCCTCCTGAGAGCCATCGTTTTAATATTCAAACCTTTTCTACATTTCTTTTAGGTCCTAAGTGATACACGTTTCTGGAGCAGGAAGGAGTCCACAGTCGTTTCTTCGTTGACCCTTCGCTGCACTCAGAACTTGCCGCAGCGGGAGGAAGGCGGAGAGGCACGGGACGGCCTGTAGAATAGCAATGAGCTATCTGTATCTCCTGGGCATTCTGTAGGAGATACGCCCAGAGAGTCTCCTGGAAATCCTTATTCGGCAGATTCAGGGTAGGGCCCAGGCTTCTCTTTTTAACAAATTTCCAGTGGTTTCTGGTTGGACAGCCCCAAACCCGGCTATCGAACCTAAGATGTAAGTTGCTCCCAGTTCCCAGCCGGTGGTGAGAGCACGGGAAACACTATACCAAGGTCGGTAGCTCACCGTGCGGCTCCCGGTGCACTCCCGGCCAGCACGCCCCAAGACCGCTCGCTCCGGCCCCCAGGGCGCAGGCGCCGCTCCCCCCGCCCCGCCCCGCGGGCCCGCCCCGGACGCTCGCTGGTTTGACCTCCGCGCGGCGGCCCGTCTGCGCAGGCTCGGGACGGGTCTTGGCTCAGGGGCTGGGGCAGGGGAGGCTTTTATTCTTTGTGGGTTCGGCGACTTCGGGCGCGCAGGCCTGACCCGGGCACCGCGCCCCAGTCCGTGACAGAGTTGGGAGTGCTCCTCCGCCTGCCCGCCTGCGAGGGGCTACGGGGGCCTGGAGCTAGGGGAAAGAGTTGCAGGGCCGGTCCGTGTCCTTGTGAGGCTCTCCCCGGAATCCCTGCTGTCTTAGGGCCTTGGAGGAGCACTGGCCACCAAGGTCGCAGGCGTGACTACGGCCCTACCTCCTGGTGGTGTAGTCGTCACTGTGGGTGTGGGTCTGCGTGGGAACTCCGTTCCAGAGCCTGGTCCCAGAAGGGCGGCGGAGCGGAGCTAGTGCGCCCAGGCCCGGATCTGGAACGCGGTCTGAGAGCGCGCCTGAAAGCGGGGGAACCGTCCCGCCCCGGGCGGCAGCGCTCCGCGCCCGGGCGGGAGTCCGGGTTTGATAGCCCTGCTCTGGGCCCTGCGGGTCGGCTGGGTGTCACCGCGCGGAGTGGGAATACCCGATGTTACCCAGCTTACCAGCTTACTCCCTGCTCCCTGAACTGTAGGGAGGACCACAGGGCTGCTACCGCAGGACAGTGATTTGGACCTAGTGAAAGGACGTCGTCCCTTAGCCCCAGCTATGGACTCCACAGCATCAGGTTTGGCTCTCGAGGGTGCAGAGGGCCAGAAGCCCTTCTGGGGAGTTAGTAGTGGGCCGAGGAGGAGGAGGACCCTAGGAAGAAGCCGGGGAATCCACTGATGGGGTAGAGCCTGCAACCGTCTTCCCTGTGGCATTTCCTAATTTGCCAGGCCCAGGAGCATGAAGTCCCAGTATCCAGACACCATGGTAGAAGTGAGGGGATGGCCACGGAAGACTTCCAAAAGGCCAGAGGAGAGCTGGGCGGCGGGAAAGGATCTCTTCCTGTGTGGGAGGGAGAGGGTAAACAATAAACAAACCTGTGGGGGAGTGGTCCTTGGCCAGAGATCAGGGGGCAGTGGGGCCATTTCGAGCCTTGCCACCATTTCCTTTATTGCTTCATTAATAAGATTCCTCTAGCTCGTCTAGCTCAACTGTATACAAGATTAGCAGTGTACATGGGGGCACCTCCTGTAGCGACCCTTTCACTAGTGTTTGGGAGGAGGCAATCCAGGTGACCCAGGAGGTTTTAAGCCATTCCTTTGTAAATTTAGTCTCCTGTCCTTCACCAATGGGCATTTTAATTTGACTTTCCATTCTTCAGTGCAAATGCTCAAGGTCATAAGACTGGCCAATGGCAGAACTGCGCCAAATCTCTGGGACTATCACCCCTTCTGTATTCCTTTATGCCTGTGTTCTGTAGACCATCAGGACAGGAATCATCTCGAAACTCTTTAGAAATGCAGACTCTCAGGCCCTATCCTACATCCACTGAATCAGAGTCTGTTTAACAAGATCCTCAGGAATCTATACACACATTAAAGTTTGAGAAGTGCTGACCTATACTATACCATGCTGCTTGCCACTTCCGTGCTTTTGTTGTTAGCTATGACCACTTCTCTGGTATGGTTGGGGTTAGTTTTTTGTTTTCAGGCTTTAAAAACAGATACAAAACCCTATCATAGAGGGACTTGCAAAGTATGCTTGCAGAGACCTAATGATGCTTGGGAACTTCTCAGGAAGAACTGACCTTTGAGCTGGCTTCCCAAGAATGAAGGGAAAGGTGTGACTTTCCCTTAAAGTCAATATCCCTCTGCGGCCTTGCCCTGGGCCTTGTTTTGTATGCTTAACCTGTCATACCGCAGGCTAGATTTAAAGTTCCTTGAAAGCCTTCTCCATGTTTATATTTTTAAAAAGCCTAGAAGGACCTATATATTGGATACCCAGTAAATAACTGTCCAGTGGAGTGGCCAGGCTATGGTGATACTTCAGTTACCTGCAACCTGCTGTGGCCTTTGGACAGGAAGTGGGCCGGTGGGGTTGTGTACTTCTCTCTCATGTGGGATAGCTAGAGGCTGCCCCTCAGCTCCCTTTGACCCAGCTCTGTCCCCGGAACCGTGGAGGTGACACACTGACTCTTCAGAATCTCCAGCGTGGGGAATCTGGGAGCTGCACAGGCCATGGGGTTAGCCTTCCTTATGGCTCCTTTTACCTTCTTAGTTCTCCCCTCTCAGGACTCTGCTCTTCCTCCAGAGAGATACCCAGGAGAAAAGGGAACAACCAGTTTATTCCTGAAAGCCAGGCCCCAGGTGAGTTGGGGTTCTCTTCATTTTTCCTCAAATGACTGAACTACGGATGTCTTTGCCTCCTTTTCTCTGGAGCCTCTGTTCAACGCCAAAGGGAACTGACCCCAATTCCTTCTCTGCAGGAGGTTGAGCCCATCAGGGTGGATGCTGGCCTCCCTGCCCCTTTCCAGGGCCCCTCTCCTCTCTGCTCAGTATGCACTCACTCAGATCCTTTGGTTTATTTCTGTCATGAGCACTGCAGTGAGTACCAAGTAATGTGAGAGAGCCCTGGCCTTGAAAGAGTGTCACTACCACAGAAAGGGGACCACTCTGCTACTGAGGATGCAGCCCCAGTCACAGTGAGGATGTGCATGATTTAATGACGGATGGGAGTGGCACAGATAGGCCTTTCCTTCAAGGTTTAGTAAAAGGAAAATCAGCCTGTGCTGGAGAGGTTGGGGAAGGCTCATGGAGAAGAGGGGCAAAGAGGTTCTGAGGGTATGGACAGGTGGGGAGGCCATTTGAAGCTATGTCCCTGTTCGGATGTTACCTTCCTGGATTAGTGAGGAGATAGACTTCACTCACTACTTCCTGGCTGGAAGACTCACCTAACTTCTCTAATGCATTGGTTTTGCCAACTGTAAAATGAGGATGGTAATCATGTTAATGATAATGATGAAAGTAGTAATAGCCGTTATGTACTGAGAACTAAATATGTATCAGGAACTATTCTACACAATTTACTTAAACTAACTCTTTTCATCTTTCAAACATTCTCATTTTGAGGAATGGCAACTGAGGCAGAGCGAGGCAACTGAGAAAGCCAAGGCACAGAGAGAGAAAGTAACTTGTTCATGGTTATCTAGCTCATAAGGAAGGCATTCTAGTTTCATATCCAGGTTGTCTGGCTCTAAGATCTTAACCACTCAGTAATGCAACTACCTCATATTGTTGCTGGAGTCTACTGGCATATGGTAACTGCTTAGTCCTTGTCAGCTTCAGTTGTGATGGGGGTAGAGGGGGTAATAATGACTGACTCCAGAAGTGGGTTCAGGTTTGGCTATAGTAGGCTGGAGAACCAAGTGGAGGGCTGTGGATGCCAGCCTGCATTGTTTCCTAGCATGGATGCCAAGATGGTACTATCTTGGTACTACCTAGATGATAGTTTCATGTATTCTAGCTTAATGATAGACATTGTGTTTAATTTTCTAGCCAATGGGGGAAACCCCCACCAGTAGGGAAGTCTCACAAATAGCTAGTAGAGTAATAGAGTTTAAAAACCTCTTTGGCCTGGATGTACACATTCAGAGGTACATCAGAGAGCTTAATCTAGTTATGCTGTGGTAACAATGGCCTGTAGATCTCAATGGCTTATAGTAACAAAGGTGTATTTCTTCTCTGTTACATATCAGTAGTAGACTGGCTGTGACTGCTCCAGACCCTCTTTGCTCTGGGATTCAGGCTTAATCCTGTCTGGGATATGTTATGTGGCAGGGAAAAGTGCAGTGTCAGAACCAGGAGATGGTTCCTCTGGCTTCTGCCCAGAAAGGACATGTGTTGCTTCTGCCCACAGTCCACTGGCCGAAGCAAGTCATGTGGCCAAGCCTAAAGTCAGTGAGGTGGGAAATACAAGCCTCCCATAGTGAGGGGAGCCAGGGGAGGGGCAGTGAATATTTTGAACAAATGAGTCTACCACTGTCTGTTTTCTTACAAATATTCACTTCCCTCCCCCACACAAATTCTCTCCCCAAAAGATAGCCCTAAAACTCCCATTTAGTTATCTAGTAGGAACATCAACATCAGAGTCCTAGATGGGGTGATGGCCGCAACATCAGGTCTGGATGTTTCTCCTCTGGATCTGGAGATCTGTGAACCAAAAGGACAAATTGCCTGAATCCATATATCCAACATACAGTGGAACAATGGAGACAGGATAACCACAATAAGCACCCCTATTCAGAACAGGGAAGCATGGGAGGAGCCCAGCAGTCTCAGGTCTGTAACAGCTATGAAATTCCACTTGGCAGACTTGGTGAGAACCACTCATCTTGGGACTGGGAAGTCTTTTGGTTATGTCCTTGTTCTTCTCTGTGGGTTCTTCTCTCCTCAGTCCCGTTTTCCTTAGCTCTTGGCTCTGCCCCCCAAGTTCCTTTTGCAGTATCCTTCTTGGTCACATAGGAAATGATATTGGAGAATAAACTCACTTGAGGGCTGACCACCTTTTTCATCCTGCCTGAGTAGGTTGATATGCCCAAGGATTTTTTCAAGTCATGGACGTTCAGTGTAACTCTCAAAATGTCATCAGCTTTTAATGTGTCTGTTTTCTGTCACTTCCATGTGTCAGCAATTTTACCCACAGTTCTTTTTTAAATATGCCCCTCTCTTTAGGCTTAATTGTGGAGCTCTGGGGGTTTTCTTGGGACAGCCATTGTTTTAGTCACTAAGCAATTCAGTGGGAAAGATTTACTGGGAGCCATCTGGAATTACTCAGAGGTTTAAACAGAAGGTTTGACTACCACACTCATGATTTGGTCCTTCCCTAAGGTTGAGTTTTAATCATCCTCTGTCACGCAAAAGCCTTATCTATACTGTCTTGACCAGCTGGAAATGAGAAGTGGTTAAATCTCTTAACTCTGCAAGTCCTGGAATTTCTGGACACTTTCTTTTGCCTTCCATTTTTATTTTGCAAACTGGCAAACTCTTGAGCTCTTTTTTTTTCTTGTAATATTTTGCGAAATTCTGCCAGTAACAACCAACTCACACTACTGATGTTCCAGCCTCTTCTTGTAACATCACAAGTTCATGCTTACATTGTTCATCTTTCCGGTTATTGCAGACAACAGTTTTAGCACACAGTTCACCACCAAATTATATGGGTTGCCATTTCACCAATAAGTTTCTTTACTACCCGGTCCTGAAACCAAAGTCACACATTTTAGGCTTTTTGTTATGGCAGAACTCTACATTAAGTACAGCTTTTTAATGAGTCATTTTAGGCTAGTTAACAGCAAACCCTAAGACTTATACCAACAAAGGTCTATATCTTGCCTGCATTACCTGTTTTATATTCCAGTTGCAAAAGCAGATTATTTGACTACACCTGGGTCAGTGGGGCAGGGAACTCAATCCTGTAGGGAGAGCCAGTGAATATTCTGAACAAATAATATAATCTATCACAAGAGGTTACTATAGTAGTGAGTTTTCCATATTTGATTATTTTGGACTGACTTCGTGTTAATGTAAAATTCTACTTTGACTTATTCTATGGAATCAATGCCTAAATAGGATTTGATTTCTAAACATATTTTGGGAAATGTAGCAGGAGTTTATACTGTCTTCATTTATCTGCATTTTAGTTCATGGTATGTGGATTATTGTACAGTGTAAGTCAAATGGGAGGTGTTCTATTGCTGTTATAGAGGATGACAGGATAGTCCTGGTGCGACCCACAGAATGGTTGTACCTTGTGGGGACCTAGGATTCAGGGTCAGTTTTGTCAGTTTTGCACATTCAGGAATTGAATGAGTAGGAATTGAAAAATGATTAGGCTTTGGGCAAGAGGATTCATGGTAATCAAACTCACAAAAGAGTTACTGATTCATTATAAGGCCACTTGATATACTTTCACTGAACTGTGTGGTGGTGGTGGTGATAAATTATTATAAATCCCAAATTATTTGATTTGGACTTAGTAAAAATTGTCTTTAAAATCATAGGCCACAAGTTTCAAAAACAGTTGGAGACTACTGATACTAGTGCGTTTGAGAATGCAAAACAAGGGCCTCTGGATGGCACAGTTGGTTAAGCGTCCAACTCTTGGTTTGGGCTCAGGTCATGATCTCAGGGTCTTGGGATTGAGCCCCACGTCAGGCTCCAGGCTTAGTGAGGAGTCTGCTGGAGTTTCTCTCTCCCTCTCACTCTGCCCCTCTCACACTCACTCACGCTCTCTCTCACATAAGTAGATAAGACTTTAAAAAAATGCAAAACATATTAGTCTGTTACTTCTAGTTGATTCTAATTAAATGTTGAAGATTGAGGAAATGGATTGCATTTATCTCCCTTACCTTAGCAGAATGTTTCTGTAGGCCTGATTCTCTTGAGATGCTGATTGTATTTCTAAGCAGCGTGATACTGACAAAAGTGGGCATTGGGTAGGATACCAAGTAGTAAGGATAATACAATCCCTGGAGTAGCTTAAAATATTTTTGGGATGACAAAACCCAAAACTGGGCATTGGGCTAGCTAGAAACTCTTGGAATCCCTTCTACATCTGAAGGTTCTACTCAGAGATCCACCCACTCTTCCCCCCGGGGCTCTTAGTGTGCTCCCTAAGGGTATAAAAGTGTGCTCTCTGAGGGTACAAGAGTGTCTTCTGTGTTTCAGGATCTGATGACATTTGAGGATGTAGCTGTGGAATTCACCCAGTGGGAATGGGGGAAGTTGGACCCCGCTCAAAAGGACCTATACAGGGCAGTGATGCTGGAGAACTTCAAGAACCTGGCCTCTCTGGGTGAGCTCAGCTCCTCCAAAGCCCAAAGCCTGCCTGTCAGGCCTGCCATTTTTATTTCTTTGTGTTTAAAGCTTGGGGTTTCTAGACCTGTTCACTGAGTTTTGGACTAGGGTTATGGAATCTGACATTTACATTGTCTTTGGGGTTCTCATTCCTAGGAAAAGTCCTGCTCCATATGAAATTGTAATAAGTTTCATGATTCTGCTCCTAATATTTTACAGTGCCTATTCTTTGGAGGCTCTCCACATCTACACTCTGGTCTCCCCCAGAAAGACCTAGGGCCAAAGCCTTGGCCTCTGACATACACAGTCATGATCCTTTTTTCTTTACCATCAGGGCTTCCAGTGTCTAAACCATACGTGATCTCTCAGTTGGAGGAAGGGAAGGAGCCCTATGTGTTAGAGGGAGAAATCTCAACAGGTGAGTGAGTGAGACCTAAGCAGCATCACACATAATAAGGACCAGCCATGGGTGAGAAATTGCCCTGAACCCTTGGTCATGGGGCTTTCCTTTGAGAAGGTAAGACCACTTGTCAGGAGCCCTCCACTGCAACATTTTGAATACTCTTAGGCTTTTGTAATTATATCTGGTGTCAGAAGAAGAGATGCTCATTTTCTTCTCTAGCATTTACACTTCCTTTGGTACCCATCTCTGCTCACCCCTTCTGGGTTCTTGGTGCCACTCAGCATCACTAGATGTCATATGGTCATTGTTGGATGGAATCTAAAGATTGACAGTTGTAAATGGTGAGGCTATCCTATATCAGCAGGGCTAAGAGAGTTAGTGAGAGACCAAACAGTAGAGTAGCCTAGAAATTGAAGAGTTACAGGCCAGGACAGACAGAAGTCAAGATCAAGTTGAAGACACTTCAAGCTTGATTAAGCTGAGCTTCAACAGAGGTGGTTCCAGGAGCAAAAATTTCTCCTTGCTGTCTGTTGATGTCATCTCTTTGAGACCATATATTCCTAGGTAACTTGAGAGTACCTGACAGGCTTCACCTCTTGGAGCAGAATTCTGGACTCAAGCTCTCCTGCCTGCCATGTGTAGCCCAGGCACAATGGAGGAAGGTGACAGTCTGTGCCAATGTCCTTCTGTGAGGTAGAATCAGCCTGGGTCAGAGGTAAATCTCGGGAAATCAGTGCTCAAATCCTGAGAGCACAGGCTGGGCCTCATTAAAGGAGCCTAGAATAGAGAACAGAGAGGGAAGTTGCTGATCTCTGCTATATTAATATTTTCTTGATCTTTTTTCCTTCTAGAATGGGAACAAGGGTGTGACCTCTGGATCTAGTCTTAAGATAAATACCTGTCTGTTGACAGTGCTCTACAAACATGGCTGTGTTTCAGAATCTCTCAGGGAGCTTGTTAAACATACAGATCTCCAGGGGTCACATAAGACCTAACTGACTCAGAATCTGGCTTCTGGGAGCACTGGCATCACTAATCATTTACCTCTTCAGAAGTGTTATTATTATTATATTAGTTTTCTATTATTGCTGAAACAAACTAATACAAACTTAATGACTTTAAACAACACAAGTTTATTAATAGTTCATAGCTCAGAAGTCTGGCATGGGTCTCACAAAAGATGTCAGGAGAGGTGTGTTCCTTTCTGGAGTTGCTAGGGCAGATTCTGTTTTCTGGCATTTGAATTGTTGGCAGAGCCAATTCTTGCAGTTGTGAAACTAAGATCCTTGTTTTCTTGCTGGCTGTCAACTGAGGAATGTTTCCAGCTTCTAGAGACTGCTACATTCCTTGGCTCATGGTGCCCTTCCTTCACCTTCAAAGCCAGAAATGGTGGCCCGAGTCCTTCTCACACATCTCTCTGACCCAGCCAGGAAATGTTCTCTGATTTTAAGGACTTATGTGATTAGATTGGGCCCATCTGAATAATCCAGGATAATATACCCATCTAAAGGTCTGGGCCCTTAATCCCATCTGCAAAGTCCCTTTTGCCATATAAGGTAACATATTTACAAGTTCTTGGGATTAGGGCATGGATGTCTTTGGGGGGATTATTTTGCCTATCACAATTATATACAGTAATATATTACTGAGGGGCTGAGGGGGCTTTGTGGAGGACATCTTCCTACCCTCTTCTCATCTTTATGGTCTTTGGACTTACCTTGTGTACTGGAATCCAATCACTATTTTTTCAGGTTTTCCTAATCCCCATTCACTTGTTTATCACTTCTTGATAACTCCAAAACCTTCTTCAGATATACACTATACTTGAAAGGAACTGTACACAGCTCAGATATTATTTTAAAACTTGATTATCTTACATCCATTATAGGACTTTACTTCCTCTGGGCACATGGAACAGTTAATACTAGATACTAGAATGTCTTTTTTTTCCCCCCCTCAGACTGGGAAAAAAGGCCTAAAGCCAAGGAATCAATACTAAATCAGGGAATTTCCAAAGAAGAATTACTCCAGATAGCATCAGTGGAAAAACATGTCAGAGATGAACTCTGCTTCTGCAAACTGAAAGTAACCTATGGTTGTGATGACCAATTAGAGATACATCCAGAAAACCAGGAGAGACATCTGAAAGAAATGTCAATCACTCAAAAATCTACCACCCTTAAGACAGATCATGAACGGAGTGAATTTGGGAGAAGTTTAGGCTTAAGATCAGTCCTTGTTAACCAACACAGTGTTCCTATAGGAGAAGGATCCTATAAATGTGATACAGAATTCAGACAGACTTCAGGGAGAAATAACTCCCAGAGAACCCATTCAGGAAAGAAACCTTGTAAATGCAGTGAATGTGGGAAGTCTTTCCATTTCCAGTCAGAACTTAGGCGCCACCAGAGATGTCACACTGGAGAAAAGCCCTATGAATGCAGTGAATGTAGAAGAGCCTTTGGTCATATTTCATCCCTTATTAAACATCAGAGAACTCATACTGGAGAAAA